GACAGAGGTCCGGGGGGTTGGGGGAGTGGGCGGGACTGTCGGGGGGCTCCCCCATGGTCCCCTCTCCCCTCCTCCAGTCCCCCAACCCCTTACTCACCAGCACCGGAGCCCTGGTGCTGAAACACGCAGCCTCACCGGCCATGTGTTTCAGCACCAGGGCAAGGGCCAACCATAGAGACGCTCTGGCAGCCAGAGCATCTCCATGGAGAACCCAGCCTTTGGTTGCCTCAGGGCACGGTCGGGGATTGTGCCCTGCTTCGCTTTTCTAAACTTCAAGTTTTTTAGACCCCTGGATAAGTTTGCAGCATGGGGAACATTTTTTTGTTCCTGCACGTGCCTGTTGCTTTGCCTCAAAGGGGTTTGAGGTGGAGCAACAGGCACATGCGCGCTTGTCTGGACGCACCCTATGATGCTTTATAAAGATACCCAAGCTAGTGCTAAACAAGCTGGCCAGAGCTTGAAATAATTTGTTTGTCTTAGCAGGATAGATTAGCCCACACACTGCTCTATTCAAATCCATATTCCATACCAATGCAGACTGCTCTGATATTCGAGCTAGTTCTAAAGACGCTCGTGCAGTACCTCCAACCTGTCCTGCAATGTGTAGTGTAGACATAGTTTCAGAACATTAGACAGCATCTTCCCATTTCCAAATGTGTTTAACTGATACCTTTTCAATGATGGACTTTCCACAGACCTTTAACCTATTCTTCTTCTATAGACTGTCTGCACATTGCTTATAAATTTTAAAGAAAAATTACATTTCTTTCAAATACACTTTTGAAAGAAAAGTGTATTTTCTGAAACAGTTTTTTCTGCCTAATATTGAAATCAGAACAACCTATATTGTGATCTAAACTTCCTATAATCTATCAAAATTATGTATATGAAGTAAAATAATAATATAAATCAGTATATGTTTGCTGCCAAAGTTTTAAGGGAAGTTGATCCATAGATCTAATAGAAGTCTGGCTAAGCATTTAAAACAAGAATATATTGATATTCTAAATCAGATTTTGATATCAGAAGTCTTTATCAACTGCAGAGAGAATATTTTTATAAGTGCAGTTTACTCAGATGCTTCAGTTCAATACTTGATTCATTCAAAACTGAGAAGCCAGCCAGTAATTAAAAAAATCAGGAAAGCTTATTTATTCATGAATCCAAATAGTGGGAGAATGAGATCTACTAATTCTAAAATCCTGAAGGGTATAGTAATCAGAAATTTCCATTCAGTTCAGTTCATTAATTATAGATAATACTTGTTTAAAGAAAATCCATTTTCTGTGGAAAACATGTTTAGACAAATGGATATAAGATATATTCCTGTTTTCAAAAAGAAAAGTATAAAGACTATATTCTGTAGCAAGTTAAGAAGGGTTCATAGTTACCAACCAAAGATTGATCTTTCTTTTAGGAAAATAAGTCTCTAAAAAGCATAAATACAAAACAAGATTAAAATTGCATGTGTAATTCAAGATTTATTGTTTGCTGGTTTAACACATGGTTAAAATAGGAAATTTAAATCACTTTTATTTCATTCAAAGTCCCCCCCCATGTGTATTTTGATAATATTTTAAAGCTATTGTTTATTTTTTCCATATTTACCTTATTGCCTAAAATGAAGTATGATTGTCAACTTAAAATAGTTCTGTATGTCCATTCATCTTCTAATGAGAAAAAAATGTGATAAAAGGTTGATTATATCACAACTGTAATATCTGAACATGGTTTATAAACCTGGCAATGGCATGCTCACATTTTACTTTTTTTAACAACTTGGTTTTAGGACTAACCCTAGGAGCTGCTTGTAGCCTTGCTCTAGTGAAAGACACCTTGACAAATGCAGTCTCAGACTTGGCTCAGGAAAAGGCAAAGATCTTCCAGGCTCTCTCGTATCAGTTAAAATCTCTGGGAGGACCACAGATCAGGAATGTTGCTGTATGTTGTCTGCTATTTGCAATAACAAGTGTGTAATATTCAGTAGCACAACTAAGGGTTGGCAAGAGGGGTACCAGGCCCAGGCACCAAAATTGTCCCCTACCCCTGTGGAGTCCATGCCTTGGCCACAAGAGCAGCCCCACAACATTGCTCTTACAGCAGCCAGTGCACAGACAGGGCTGGAGCAGGCAGAACATGCAGCAGCAGCAGCAGCAGCCAGGGACTATTTTAGTGTTCCTGCCATGGGCTCCTAGCACCCCATCCCCCTCCACTGTCCCACTCTTGGAACTGCATGTGACCCACCTCCATTCTCATAGCTACCCTGCCCCTGCTGCATGGTTTTCCCAGGGTGCCAACCCTGCTTGTTAAGCCACTGGTAATATTTGCTGTAACAAATTAAACTAGGAAATTCTCTGCCTTAGCATGAAGTGCATATTCATTTTAAATTTGCATTTCAGCTTGTTAAAATTTCATTTTGGTTTATTCTTATTTTCATTATTACTATTATTATTTAGCTGTGACGTTAGCAAGTGCTGATTTGATACACTTTTTAAAATGTGCATTCACAGTATATGCTTACATAAACGTGATAGTTTGTGAGAAAAAGACATGAATATCTTTGGGTTTTTTCAGTCTTTAGGTGGAAACATTATAAGCAGAAAGTCAACATCTGACTTGAATCCCGTTCTAGCAGCTGGCAACTGTATCCTCAATCTGGCATCAAGAGGTAAGTTTCAGGGTGCCTGTCTCCATGTCTCCAAGAGTTGCAGTAAGTCTTGTAAGGAAGAAAATTACAATCAATGAGTGTTGTTTAGGAAACCTACTTCCTGGCTACACACGAAACCACATTTGTCAGGAAGGGATGTGGAAGATGAGAAAATACATGGCCACCAGCCCAGTGACTTATTAAAAGCACCTTCAAAATCTTACGATTCAGGCAGTTGTACACATAATTCTTCTTATATTTTAATTCTGAGACAAGGTTGAGTAGACTAAGCGAGTGCTTTATGCTGGAAGGGCAAGTTGTCTTTCTTAGATGGATCATCCATACTTTGGCCTTTATCAGAATTCTTTCTTGCCTTACATATTTGTCATCACCCTGTAGAACACATTCCCCACATAATTGTTCCTCAGCTAGGATTTGCTGAACCAGTGCATTCATGTACAACTAATTGTACACTATTACTTTTCGCATTTTTCCTGCATGCACAGGTTGAGAGAAAGTATTTCTCTCAGAATGCAGCTTCATTCTAACTATTGACAATGTAAAAATAGCATCTTCTTACTCAGCTGACATGCCTCTCACAGGTAGTCACTCTCTTGAGTGCAAAGCAGGAGAATTCATTGGTTTCCATCACTCTTTTGAGTGCAAAGCAGGAGAATTCATTGGTTTCCATTCCTGTTAAACCTACAGAGTTAACACAGTAAGGAGAGGAATGTATTCCTTTTTGCACATCATTCACAGAGCTGTTTACCAGATGCCAATCAGTGATACCTTGGCAAACTCATGGAAGAAAGAGGAGCTGCACAGATATTATTGGGCCACAGGATTTTTCATGCTGGTAGCAGCTGCCAAGAAAGAATGAACTCAGCTAGACTACTGGATTTCAGGGCAAGTTGTTAGTTGGCATCAAGGCAGTCTTTTAATATGTACACTGGGCACATTCACTGTGGACTTGTTGAGACTATAAATCAAGAGCACTGGGTCATTTTCCTTATTTTTTTTCTTTTTTTACAAGGTTCGTTTTCCGAACCACTCATTATGTAAGATGGGATCTTCATTGTTTTCTTTACTAAATGTTTGCAGTTTATATTTCTACCTTTCCAAAGGGCTCTTCCCCTGATGTTAAAAAGGGCTCTTCTCTTTTATAATGGAATGGATAGTTTGCAGTGCCATTCTTGCATGTGGTATTTGGAAAGTAATCTCCTTAATATGGCAGTCATTGCTGAAATTTTACTTGTATCATCCAAGTTCACCTTGGATTATGAGGGAGTGTTTCAAATTATGGTTTAAGTAAAAGCAATACCAAAGGTCCCTTGGTTATAAAAAGTCTGGGAGCTGACTGAGGCCTGTGAATGCTATAACAATATAAATATTAAATAGTAAATTAAAATTAATTCCTTTAATTCTGTCTTTTATCTAGCATATGCAAAAACAAAAGACGCCACAGTTTGGTAAAAAGCCCTCATATGACTAATATACTATATAGAAATGCCAGAAAAAACTCTCATTAATACCTCTTTATTTTGGCAGAAAATACTTTTGCTGCAAGAGATTATTTATTTCAGAGAACTTTCCCAGCAAAGGAATTTTTTTCCCAATGAAAGTTATCTACAAGGAGGGAACTCTGGTATAGGTCTTCTGACATAATTGTACCAACAAGCCCTTTCTTGTATAGGCAAGGCTTATATATTCACAGTGGTTTAAGGCTAATGAAGTCAATTCAACTCCCCTTAGAGCTCTACTGCCCTCCCTCCTGTAGGCCCTTTAAAAATCTCAGATTTGACCTCATCAACTTCCATTTTCAATACATTCCATTTCATTTCTATTCTCAGCACAATTCAACACAAAGAAAAAGGAAAAAAATGCAAATTCTTCCTCTGCAGAAGTAACTGCAAACATGGAGGGATAACATGTATATAAAGATCCCGCTCCTGAGGAAGCATTACATGAACTTTTTAGTAATCCTTTTTCCCCAAGGGTTGTGTGTTGTTTCTTCTCAGATGCATTCATTTTATTTATGTAAACTTTAGTTGTGTTATTCTCAGTGTCCAAAATTACCATTTCTGATTTCTCCAACAGATGAAAGACGGCAGATCCCTGTAAGTGACATCTTTGCAGGTGGAGTTAGTAACAATGCCCTTAAACCAGAAGAGGTCTTAGTCTCAGTCTATATCCCTCATTCCAGGAGGGTAGGTGTTAAAGTGATGTTTGGCTTTCTTTTTTAAGAATGATTGAACCATAATTGTATGTCATTAAAACAGGAATACATGAAAGACATCATTTGTGATTAAAATAAAAAACCTTAGCATCTGCAGCCAGAAATACTGGCACTGGACATTGCCAATCTGGTTCAGTTGCCACATTTAGAGCTGAAAAACAAAGTCAATAAAATGCTGATGTAATAGTTCTACTCTTGCTGAGAAAACTGATGAGGTCAATGGTATTTTCTTGGGGGCAGCAGAGCAGTGAAGTATGCTGGAGGACACTGCTGTACTCTCTTTCCCAGAACCCTGTCTTCTTATGGTAGTGCTAGAGATCCACTCATTAGGCAGTTGAGGTAGCTGCTGTCTCTTGAAGATTGTGCTTAAATAGGAACTACAACAAGGGTGATCAACCTCCGGCCCATGGGCCAAAGGCAGCCCATGGAGCTATGGGTATCAGGCCTGTGGAGCTCCTCATGGATTGGGAAATTTGGCAGCAGGGGAGCAGTGGTAATAAATAGGGCCACCTTCCCCCACTGTGAAATTCCCAAACCCTGAGCCCTGTGTAGCAGGATGGGGCCCGGTCACATCCTCTCCCTCGACCCCTACATCTGGATAAAGCTGGGGCCACATCCCTCCCCCTCAGGCTGCGTGTGGCTGGGCCATGGCCCCTTTCCCCTGTGGTGTTGGCCTGGGGCCAGTCCCCTTTCCCCCATGGGCTTGGGTTGGGGCTGGGCAATGCCCCTTTCCCACACCTGTCCCATGCCAGATTGGAACCATCAACCAGATCTGACCCATAGATGGCCTGGGCACTGCCCATTTGGCCCTCCAGACCAAAAGGCTGAGCACCAGTAAGCTACAGGATTGGACTAGTGAGAAATACTTCCATGAATATCATTGTACCCTATAGTCCACTTTGGGTGGTTCTGTAACAGTAGCAATAAATGTGATGATTCATAGATTCATAGATGTTACGGTCGGAAGGGACCTCAATAGATCACCGAGTCCGACCCCCTGCATAGGCAGGAAAGAGGGCTGGGTTTAGATGACCCCAGCTAGATGCCTATCTAACCTCCTCTTGAAGACCCCCAGGGTAGGGGAGAGCACCACCTCCCTTGGGAGCCCATTCCAGACCTTGGCTACTCTAACTGTGAAGAAGTTCTTCCTAATGTCCAGTCTAAATCTGCTCTCTGCTAGCTTATGGCCATTATTTCTTGTAACCCCCAGGGGCCCCTTGGTGAGTAAAGCCTCACCAATTCTCTTCTGTGCCCCCATGATGAACTTATAGGCAGCTACAAGGTCGCCTCTCAACCTTCTCTTGCGGAGGCTGAAGAGGTCCAGGTGCCCTAGTCTCTCCTCATAGGGCTTGGCCTGCAAGCCCTTAACCATATGTGTGGCTCTTCTCTGGACCCTCTCCAGGTTATCCACATCCGTCTTGAAGTGCAGCACCCAAAATTGCACGCAGTATTCTAACTGCGGTCTGACCAGCGCCCGATAGAGGGGATGTATCACCTCCTTGGTTCTCTTCATCATGCATCTGCTGATACACGATAAAGTGCCATTAGCTTTTCTGATGACTTCATCACACTGACAACTCATGTTCATCTTGGAGTCCACTAGGACTCCAAGATCCCTTTCTGCTTCCGTGCCTTTGGAGCAGACAGGGCTATCCAGCTTCTGAGTGGCTGAGGGCCTCGCAACGTGTGGGCTGCATGGCATGGGGCTGTACACCACGTGGGCCACTGGAAATCCCCACTGTGCATAGCCCCCACCATTACACAGGCAGTGAACTGCCCCCCACTTCTGTGCCAGTGCACGGGCAGATGTTGAGGCTCCTGACTTTTGGTCCCCATCTAAATGCAGGGCTGCTTTCCCCTGCACAGATTCTCCTACTGCATACCTTATGCTTGGGAGTGGGTACCAGGCCAACTAAGTTGTGCAAACGGTGGTAGTAAGACCAGGACTGCTGGCAGGACAGAAGTAAAGAGAGAATTCCTGAAAGGTCAGAGGAAAGGGGTGAATGTGTTTAAATGTTTTTGGTGGAAAATATTATGTTGTGGTATTTGTTACCTTAGTTCATGCAACTGCCACAATAGTTTTTCATTTCAGGATGTTACATTTCTGAAAATTGTTGATTTTTCTCAGGGGCAGTTTGTATCTGCATTCCGACAAGCTCAGCGCCGGGAAAACTGTCTCCCAATTGTTAATGCTGGGATGAGAGTACTTTTTGCAGAAGGCACAGACTTAATTCTGGATTTCAGCATTTTCTATGGAGGCATTGGATCTACCACAGTTTGTGCAAAACAAACCTGCCAAGCACTCATTGGGAGGTACTGTATGAATTCCTGTCGACTGTGTATGTCTTCTCTGAATAATTCCCCCCCAATGGATTTTACATGCCTATATGGTAACATTTATAGTCCATTAAATGGATCCAGATCAATCCTGATCATTGAGTCATCTATCCATTATCAAATGGCACATTTAATATTACCATATTTTTAAATACTTAAAGCTTTTGGGTGAATGTGAATGTCTTCCACAGGATGGTTACAACTGCTGAATTACCATCACCACATTTTAGTTGTCACCCAGACCTGACCAGGACAGACTGCTGCTAATTCCATATACGTAGGAAGAACTACCAGTCAAAATTTGAAAATAACTGCCTGAGTTTCCTTCATGTTCCTCCTTATATTATCTATTTAGTCACTAGTGGAGATATCCAAAGAGTTGCTAATTAATTAGTGCCAGTTTTAAGAGAGTGGGGCATTCTCTAGTGGATGCTATGGAGGGCTTCATTATGGCACTACAAGAAGAGACTGAGAGGAGATGGCTCATGCCTCCTCTGATTGGTGGCTGCAGTTAATTCAAAAGCTCCAACTGTCCAGGGTGGGTTTGGGGGGAGAGGTGGGGGAGGGAGAGAAGTGTTATTTAAATACTTCACAGGTATATGTACTTAAAGTGAGATAATGGACTTTTATGTTTGTAAGATCCCAGAACAAAAGGCTGTCCCAGGAGAAATTGGACAAATGAGAAATCAGATAAATGTTTCTAGCCAACCAAGCAATAGTTTAGCATCTAGGTAGATGTTATCATGCTGCTTTTCTCTCTATGCATTGCAGTGGGGGAAAGACAGGTTCCAAGCTTCTGCTTGGGATACTTTTCTATGTGGAAGGATGGCATGGGCCAAACTGGAGGAAACAACTTAACCACTAGAAAAAGGGTTTATTACAGCTTGAACCTCTTCATATTTCAGAGCCTGCAAACCCATGGGAACCCTTTCTTCTGCACTGCATTCAATCCTGTTTTGACCCTGCACTAATAAGATTCTCATTGCCAAATTACTTGATGTGATTTAATTGTCAGCTCACCATTTATGCAAGACATTTGAGTCTTGTAATTTGGAGGATTGTGGCTTTTATAATCCAACAGCTCTGCGAGCTAGAGTGGGGTGGGATTGGAATAGGGTTTTAAATTCCATACTAATTTAGATTTGTATTCAACTTCTTACCCTAATCACAGTGAAAATACTGTCTAACGTAAAGCTCTTTAAAGTCAATGGGAGACTTTGCTTTTGTTAAATAAGCTTTGGATCTTTAGTATGCTTGTCTAGTGTAGAAAAATGTAGGCACTGGTCTGGATGGTTGTCTGGATTTGTGGGGAGTGCTCTACATGTTATCAGTTCCCTTTATGTACAGAGTGCAGAAGCATGTACCTTGGTCTGTAACTGTTCTGCTAAGTTTTACGCATGCTTGCTGAATTGGGTCCTAAAATTGATCATTTCTAGAACTATTTCATGCTCCTTTGCATTACAACAACAACCAGCAATAGCTGCCTTGTTGTTAAAATGTGCAAACAAAGAAAATTAAATCTTCAAGAGCCTGTGCTTATATAATTTATGTTTACCTCCAGTTTATCCAAAACAATAAAGCTAAAGATAAATGACCCAAAAATATAAAATAATAAAAATATCCTTAGTTGAGAGAAGGATGCCTGAGTTCTTGGAGCAAAGCATTAACCTTTAATAGATCTCTTTGTATTCAGTCCTGGTTTTCTTTGGCAGTTTTATTAAGCTGGTCACTGTTAACATTATTGCTGTTGCATATCAAGCTTTGCTCAAGAAAAGCAGTTGGTTGGTTTTCAGATGTGCTTAATAGAGTTAGGAGGAGAAATCTGATGTCAGGCTATGAACATGTGTTACGCATCTAGGTGGAGAAATGCTGCTATCCCACTAGTAATTGCAAATGCACAGGCATTCATGTGGTTTCTCATGGAGGAAACATGGTGAATCCACAACAAAATCTTCCACATTTGATGGAGGAAGATTTTGCTTGTGCAAAAGTGTCTCACACCATAATATGGCTTCCTTCCATTTTCCAGACCAGGATCACACTAGTCTGGGGATGACACAGAGGGCACTTTTCCAAGGCCCTGGTTTGCCCACAGAGGTGAGATGGCAGCTGCAGACTGAAACATCTGTACCCTCCTCTTCTTGCCACGATTTCTAGTGCTGCAGTTTTTCCCAGAAATGAACACCTGTTCATACCCTTAGTCTTATACATGCCTCTTTATCTGTCCGGTTTTCTGGAACCTTGATCACTTTTCTTATTTTATACTGAACCCCACTCTAGTTGTGCAGTAGCCTTTCAGAGGCAGGGTGACCACTGTCAGACACTTCAGATGTTGAAAAATTGTACTTCCAAATTGTGTCCTGTTAGACCATTTGACCATTTAACATGTGGGCAGTTGAAGTTCCCATTATTGTTGTCAGATTTTACTGCCTCTTGGATCTCTCTCAAAATTATTCCCTCCATTTTTTTTCTTGTTCTGACAGATACTAGTAAAGCTCTGTAATATTTAGACAGTTTGGGATTTAATTCCCTCAATAGTTGATGTGCGGGACACTCCAAAAGAACAGGATTTCTAGAAAATACTGAGCGTATAACCTTTGATAATTGAATCTTTTGAAAACATCTCCAATTGGCATCTAAAAATCACTAATCATTTCTGAAAGTTCAGTGCATGATCTAGTGTACAGTGATGCTCTACAACAGTATTTAAATGTATTTTTTAATCACAAGAAAAAAGCTGACTGGTTTTTATTACCAGTTCTATTGTCTTTATTGAAATTACTCATGTGAGTAATGTTAGTAGGATATTAAAAGTAGGGGTGCACTGATAAAGATTTTTGGGCTGATACCGATGGCCTATTATTAACCAGCCATATTAGCTGATACTGATCTGATTGCTGATTGCAGCCCAGCAGCTTGGAGAGCAGCATTCAGCTCACAAGCTTGTTAGGGAGAAGTGTGGGGGAAGGAAGGGGCATGGGAGGGCAGATTGAGGCCCCCACCATGAGGAAGGGAGTGGGGCTGGGACAGTGATGGGCCAGGCACTGCCCAGCCAGGGCAGGTTGTGGGGTGGAGCTATAAGCAGCTTGTCCAAGGGGTGTGGGGAGGGGGGGCATGGCTTCCACCACTGTATGCACCCCTGGGGGTAGCCTGGGGGGGGTATGTGACCCCCACATCTGAGCATGGGGCAAGGGTAGGCTGGGGTCAGGGGCTGCACCAGGCTCTTTCTGGTGGTGGGGCTGGGCTGGGGCTGTGGGCAGTGGCGGCACTGGGAGTGGGGGCTGCAGCAAATTCTGGGGTGACTGTAGCCTCCCCCCATAGCTCCCCCTTCCAGTGCTGCCCCTACCCAGCCTGAGCACAGCCCCAACCCAACCCCCCCCCACCAGGAAGAGCCCAGCACTGCCCCCAGCCACAGCGGCAGCCCACCCTTCCCCACACACAGATCTGGGGGGCACATCCCCCCCATGCCTCCCCCCAGGGGGTGCTCACAGCAGTGGGAGCCACTCCCCCACCACGCTCCCCAGGTGAGCTACTCGTAGCTCTGTCCCATGCCCCACCTGGGCAGCCCCAGCCCCACTCCCTCCGTCATTGTGGGGGCCTTGATCTGCGCCCCAAGCCCCTTTCCTCCCCACCTCTTCCCCCCAAAAGACTTACCAGCTGGATGGTGCTCTCCAGTTTGCTGGGCTGCACTCCTGGCCACATTCATGCTGCGGCTGCACACATGAACACAACATTTATCAGTGACATTATCGACTACATCAGCCAAAAAAAGTGGATTGCCGAAAAAGGAAAACTGACGTTAATCGGTACCGATACAATATGGACCAATGTACTGGTGCACCTCTAATTAAAAGCCGTGGTGCCGGTCCTGTTCCCACTGAAATCAAAGCTCCCAGTGAAGTCAATGTGGGCAGGGTTGTACAGAAAGGAATTCGGATGATTTCTATTTAGTTTTTCTAACTTGCAGCTGACAAATTTATCTTTTATTATTCATTGTTCCAGGCATTGGAATGAGCAGATGCTGGATGAAGCTTGCAGAATGGTTCTTAAAGAAGTTTCTCTCCCAGGCTCAGCCCCAGGTGGAAAGGTGGAATATAGAAGAACTTTGATTGTCAGTTTCCTCTTCAAATTCTACCTGGAAGTGTTGCAGTCATTGAAGAGGATGGTAACTTAATACCTAGTGTCAGTTTTCATGGCATCAGTTGTAAAATCTTGGCTAATGTTTGTCCTTCTAGTTTATATACCACACTGACCATAATCTCTAAAGCAATGGTTCTCAATCCTTTTACATTCAAGGGACCCCCTCGATAACTTTTCTGAATTTAGGAGCATCCTGGTTGAGAACCATTGTTGTACTGTCTCAGTTAGTTTATGACCATTTTGTTACATACTTGATCTTGTACCATTGTGGTCCCTAAACTTAAATGGCTCTTCTCTTTCTCTGATATTCACACTCCAAATATATTTATAAAAAGAAATCATATCCCTATAATATGACTTACCTGACAAAAACCTGAAACATTTTTTTTTTACAAGATGCTGCTACTGCTGCAGCTGGGTCAAACTGTCCTGTTCTTCTGTTTCAAAATGGCACGTTTGGAGCTTGGAAGCAGCTAGCCAGGAGTGAGCACCACTGCCTACGTTAGATTGACCTAGTTTGGCTTATTACATGCAAACTGATTTAAGAGCTAATTTGTGAAATTGGTTAGATCCTGTTGGTGAGCTCTAGAGAGAATTGCATTCAGATTTTCTCCTTTCCAATCAAAATGAATGGGATAATGCCTAAAGCCAAAGGCTAATGAGGGAAGCACAGATGCTCCAGAAGTGCCCTATACACACAACTTTAAATCACCTCACACAGTTAAAAAGAACACAAAGAAAAGGTTGCAGTCTCTGACTGGACACCTACAAGCCCAGTTTGCAGTTTGAGAGGCAGTATTATTATTCAGTCTTCTTGCTCATTACCACAGGCAGCAAAAATTCTGGGCCAGGTTTGTTCATCTCAAAATAAAGCTGGCCTCTTTCCGTTGCTTTCTTTCTAACTGGTCTCCTGAGGTCCTTGTACTGTTTTAATGCAGTTTTTTAATAAGATTTTATGAATGCTTAAAACTCTTTACTTCATTTTCAGCTTCATTTCTAATTCAGTGGGAAACTTAAAGGAATTATTATAATGCTAAGATTGAAACTCATTTGTTTGTTTTTAATAAAAATGTTTGTTACATAGAAGTGTGACTTTTAACATTATTATAATGCCTCGCTTTCAGGACCTGCATCAATGGCCTGAGATACCGGAGAAATATGGGAGTGTCCTGCAAGAGTTCTCAACCAAAATGCCCCAAAGTGTACAAATGTACCAGGTCAGCACCTTTATTCTAAGACTTTTATGCATGTCAAAAGAAAATGGTTAAAAAGTTAGGGTTTGCAAAGAGTCCGAAGCTATGAGGGTCAGATACAGATATTTTTAAAAAAATCAAGGATGCAGTTGTTATTTTAGAATTAGTAAATGACAGGTACCTGATTGATACAGTGCAAATAATCAAGAACATTCAAGGACAGTTCAGCAATAGAGGGCAGAAGAGTCCTTTTTTCTATCCTTGCCCTTGTATAGATAAGGAGGGTGGCTAGAATTGTCCAGGAAGCAGTTTCCTCCCTTTGCAAGAAATTTTGAGAAAAATTCTTGTTGCCACGAATGAGACAGACAATCGTTCCCAAACGTTTGCAGATCATGAATCTTAAAGTGGTCAATTGTAAATCAGTTGTAAAAGAGTTTGTTTCTTTCAAACTCTTATTAGATATTAACTTGAAATTTAAACTTGTTTCCAACAAACAAATGGAACTTTTCATTTAAGCATTTTGAAATAGGCTATTTAAATAATCTCAGGTCTTTTTCAATTTGTTTTCAAAATGGAGAAATCCACTGAAATATTGACCCTTTGCTATGAAAAAGCTCAGCTTTGACAAATCAGCATTATCTATTGAGAAATTGATTTTTAAAAAAATCCTGACCAACTGCTGATTATGTTATAGCCTAGGAGTGTTCCCTAACAGAAGAAATGGGAAATAATGGAAATTTGATAACATTTATATTGAAATATTTTGTGCTGTAATCTTATACTAATATTTGTTGAGTTTGATCAAAGACATAGGAGTGGGAGAGAAATTTAAAATCCAGTGTAATTGATGGGAAGAGATGCTGAAATTTAAAATGAGCTAGGGCAGTGGTGCTAAACCTTTTTGGCCAGTGGGCCAGATGGGCAGTACCCAGGCTGTCCATGGATTAGATCCAGCTGAAAGTCCCAATCTGACATAGAGCGGTCATGGTAGAGCCCCATCTAGCTGCTCAGAGTGGGGCAGAAGGCATTCTGGCTCCAGCTCCACTCCACCTTGGGGGGTAAGCGGGGAGGGAGAGAGAGTGACCCAGCCCCAACCCAGCCTCATGGGGGGAAGGGGTCTCGACCCAGTCCTGCAGGGAGGAAAGGGGGCTTGAGCTGATCCCAACCTGGCCCCTCAAGGGAAAGGGGGTGTGACCCAGACCCATCCAGCCCAGAGGAAGGGGCATGGCTTAGCCTCATCCAGAAATGGGGCTGGAGGGAATGGGCATGACCTAACCCCAACTTGCTGTGTGGGGCTCAGAGTTTGGGAATTAGGCAGTAAGGGAGAGTGGCTGTATTTATTGCCACTGTTCTTCAGCCACCAAATGTCCTAGTCCTTGGGGAGCCCCACAGGCTGGATACCTATGGCTCTGCAGGTCACATTTGGCCCATGGGCCAGATGTTGAGCACCCCTTAGCTAGAGAATAAGTAAAGTAAAGAGATACAGAAAGGCAGATCCAGGTGGCAATAGCTGCAGGGAGACGGCTCTTACTTCAGTGATGATGAAGGAACAGAAAGAACTCAGTGCTAATCTGTAAACTTGGAAGAGCAGAGAGAAGAAATGGGTGGGAGGAGTGCAGAGTGCATGGAGTGTCTATTGTGATGATGGGCTACTGTCAGTAAATCTTAAATTAGTTTATATACTTGTGAATTACAAGAGGAGACAGTTTTCTGGCTTAACACAGACTTACTTGGCATTGCACCTTATTCTTGCTGGTTTAAGATAAAGCAAAATTGGGTACAATAAATAGTATGCTACTTAAAGGTCAGTTTTCTAGCAATAATGTAGAATGATGCCTCTTTGGTAAAAATGCAGTGGTGTGCAGAAGTGAGGAACAAATTTGAAAGTTAGGACAACAGTGCCTGGTTGAAGTAGGACTCATCGCAGGAGAAAAAGCCATTGTATTTTCCTATCTAAACAAATCCAGATCAGAGCCAGTATATCATGAGTATTTCCATTACCACAACATGTTTGCAATGAGGAAAATCTTGAAGACTTGTTTTTGCTTTAGACAGAACCAGTTTCCACAATACCTGCATAATTATATGGTGTAGGAAAAACCAGTCAGAACACCATGTCACAAAAGGAATAGCTTTCCTTTTGAGAGCATTTCACAGAAAGCACAGAGCCCCACTTGTTATCTTAGTCATTCACAAGGTTCTAAAAGTTTATTTGTAGCTAATGACAAGATATTGGAAAATTTCAAGATCTTGGCAACACTTTTATCTGTGTTGCAGAAAATATGATTAGCTGTTCTTAAGCTGTACTTAGGTTGGTGTTAGGAACAATGATGATTGCCATACTGGAGGGATCAGTGCGATACATCTTTTCCAGCACCCTGACAGTGGCCAGTGCCAGAAGCTTCTGAGGATGGTGCAATACATCTTCTAAAAGGAAGATAAGTGATACATCACCCTCTAGGAAAGTATGAGATAAGAGGTGGTATAACGGAGGGCACATTCGGGGCCAGATCTCATGCCGGCCCGCCCACCTGTTTCTATGGGCAACCGCCCACCTCCTCTCCTGCCATGCCTTGATGGTATATATATAATTATGATATTAGTTAGGCGGGAGGCTATCCATTCTTGCCCTGATGCCAGGAGGCGCTATCTGCAGCTCCATTCCTTCCCTATACCACAGCCCAAGCCTCGCAGATGGCATCCGCAGCCCAAGCCTCACAGATGGCATCCACAGTTCTTAATGTCACTGGCCCCACACTGGGCCCCAGAATCCTTCCAGTCAGACCCCAACTGGATCCCTCCAATCAGGCAGCCTACTCTGCCCTCATTCTAGACTGCCTAGCTCCTTGAACTGTTCCCCCTCTCAGGTGTGGTCCCCCCAGCACCTTTGGCCATACAGGCCCTGGCCTTACCTCCAAGGCCAGTTGGAAACTCCAGGTTCTCAGCTCTGGGCGTCCCTCACAGTGGTCCCTTGGCCTGTTTGACTCTTCTGGTCCTGGCCCCAGCACTGACTAGTCGAGGGTGTTTCAAGTCAGGTCTCTGAGCCTCTAGCCCACTCTCTAACCTGGGCCTGCCTTCTTGGCCCTTCTATGGGGTAACCCACCCGGGTGTGGGAGCTGGGGTTATTAAGGCACCCTGACCCACCTTTCACCGGGGTGGTAACTGGCCTGGCATTTCCTGGAGGCTCCCGTGCCACTGGGAGCCCCACCAGGCCACCCACTTGTGTCAGGGAGCAGTTTTAGGTCACACCCAGGACCAGGAGCCTCCAAACCATCCCCTTAAGTTCCTGTCCTTACCTCCAGGATGTTGCATTCAGCGTTCCAGCCAGGCAGTGTTTCTGATGGGGCAGATGCACAAATCATTGCATACTAGGGGTGTACAAAGCGGGCTATATTCGATTCGAATTCAGCCCAATTTAGGGGACAGTGATTTGATTCATTGATTTGCATCACTGTCCCAATTCAATTCAGCTGAATCTGAAGATTCGATGCTGATTTGGAGAATCAGCAATTCAGCCATAGACACAGTTATAAATGTTTTTTCTACATACCTCGAGGTACCAGGTGTGGCTCATGAATGCTGAGATGGTGGGGCGAATGGAACATCCCACAGGAGCGTGGTGGGGGCTGCTTGCTCAGCAGCAGACCTGGAAGTGTCAATGCCCCACCTCCATTCATGCACTGGGAAGAGCCGGGGCTGTGCCGGGCAGCTGGTGGCGGTGGCACTGGGAATGGAGCGGCATCGAAATTTGGGATGGATGCAGCATCCTCCCAGCACCACTGGCACCTGCTCCAAGCCCAGACTCCGCCGAGAAGAGTCCCACGCAGCCCCAGCTGCAACCCGCCCTGCACCGCACAGATCCAGGGAGCACATGCCCCCCCATGCCCTCCCGGGATGCAAGCAACAGTGGGAGCTGCCTCCCCCTACCTCCCCCATGAGCCACAGCTCCAGCCGCGCCCCCTGCCTGCCTGAGTAACACCTGCCCCTGCTCCCTCCCTCACCACGGGGGGTGTTGATCTGGCCCCTCCTCATGTCCCTTCCCTCCCCACCTCCCCTTCCACCACACTGGACTTACCAGCCGGAGGCAGCTCTCCATGCTGCCGGCTGTGCTCCTCACTGACTGAGTGCTGCACTGTGGCTGTGCACAGCATGGGCATTTATTGGCTAAATCATCTGCCCCATCAGGCCAGTATCCAATACAGCCAGTTTTCGTTATATTGGTACTGATCTTTATATTGGACCGATGTATCTGTTCACCTCTATTGCTGATTATACCATAGCAGCTGCACCCCACTTTGGTAATCGCATGATATCTCTGGCAGTGACACTAATTGTTTACAGCAGGAGTGTCCAACTTCAGAGCACCCAAGAGCTGTACATGGCACTTTTGTTTGGTGCCTGGGCTACCCACTGTGCAGGCCTAGGCTGCCGGGTTGGGGCTCTGCCCCTTGATTCCCAACCTGTGGGCAGCACCAGCACTCCCTCCTCCCTGAACGCTCCCTCAGGAAGGGTAAGAAGCTTTGTAAGACCCGAGTTTAGTGAATAATGCATCTTTATCATTTTCTAGTGTTAAGCCAGAGGTACGTGTTTATAAACACTGAATTTTGTATCTAAATTTCTTCGTCTAATCTAAGGCCCCCTGGCTTTCCTTTGTTGGACTGAGTGTTATTTTATTTTTTTTAACTGGGCAGGGTGTGGACTCTGGGCAGGTTCCCCAAGATCCAGTAGGACGACCCATCATGCACCAGGCTGGCTTTGAACATGCCAGTGGCGAAGCTATTTATTGTGATGACATGCGTGTGGTGGATGAAGAGCTCTTTTTGGCTGTGGTCACTAGTTCCAAAGCACATGCAAAGATTGTGTAAGTGTATAAAGACCTGAGAGATGTGTTACCATGAAAACAACAGCTGGGATTTTTTGAGCACTCTAGGTTAGGGGTATCAAACATCTGGCCTGCAGGATAGATCTGGCCTGTTCACCAGGTTGTCCAGCTCAAAGATTTTTATCCTGGCTTTGGCTACAGTGGTGAGGGTTCCCACAGTGGCAGCCAGGGCTCTGGGGAGAGCAGCATTGGAGATAGAAGTCCTGCCATGATGGCCAGAGCCAAGAAAGGAGACAGGTCACCAAGAGCCTTATTTTCCATCTACCTAATCTTGCTGTCCTAAGGGAAAGAAAAGAATGGCCATTAGCCAGCTGCCCAGAGAAGTGTGAGTGCAGAGCCACGTGGTACTGGATATCTATGGATGTATTGTTGTCTTCCTTCTGCAACATTCTGAGATTAACCGCTTCCCCCCCAGATCAATTAACACATTGGAGGCCCGTGCGGTACCAGGGGTGTTTGATGTCATAACAGCTCATGATGTCCCAGCTACAAATGAATTCTACTATGCCAGTGATCCAGAGATTATATTTGCAAAAGAGAAGGTATAACATGCCTACTCAGTAGGCACACTTTTTTGAGTGGGTCTCTTCAGTTTTTAACATCTTTCACAATTAAACTAAACCATGACCTGTTGGATCTTGAATTGTTGTAGTGTGTGTACGTTGGGAATCATTTGGTCACTCAAAAAGGGGCATCTTCCTAACTATTCTCTTCCATTCCTTTTAAAGCAGATAGATCAGACTAGTAAAAACTGGGGTAAAATTTGCAAAAACAGTTCATAGGTTCATAGATTCATAGATGTAGGGTCGGAAGAGACCTTAGAGATCTTCTAGTCTGACCCCCTGCCATGGGCAGGAGAGAAAACTGGGCTCAAATGACCCCAGCCAGGTAAACGTTGAGCCTTCTCTTAAACACCCCCAGGGTAGGAGCCATCACCACTTCCCTTGGAAGTTGGTTCCAGATCCTAGCCGCCCTGACTGTGAAGTAGTGCCTTCTAATGTCTAGTCTAAACCTACTCTCTAGCAGCTTATGGCTGTTATTCCTTGTTATTCCGGGAGGCGCTTGGGGGACAAGGTCTCTCCCAAACCCTGCTGGTCCCCGCTAGTAAGTTTAGAGATGGCCACCAGGTCCCCCCTCAGCCTTCTCTTGCGAAGGCTGAACAGGTTAAGGTCCCGTAGCCTCTTCTCATAGGGTCTGCCCTGCTGTCCCCAGATCATGCGAGTGGCCCTCCTTTGGACCCTCTCAATGCTGTCCACATCCCTCCTGAAGTGCTTCAGAAGATTCGATGCTGATTTGGAGAATCAGCAATTCAGCCATAGACACAGTTATAAATGTTTTTTCTACATACCTCGAGGTACCAGGTGTGGCTCATGAATGCTGAGATGGTGGGGCGAATGGAACATCCCACAGGAGCGTGGTGGGGGCTGCTTGCTCAGCAGCAGACCTGGAAGTGTCAATGCCCCACCTCCATTCATGCACTGGGAAGAGCCGGGGCTGTGCCGGGCAGCTGGTGGCGGTGGCACTGGGAATGGAGCGGCATCGAAATTTGGGATGGATGCAGCATCCTCCCAGCACCACTGGCACCTGCTCCAAGCCCAGACTCCGCCGAGAAGAGTCCCACGCAGCCCCAGCTGCAACCCGCCCTGCACCGCACAGATCCAGGGAGCACATGCCCCCCCATGCCCTCCCGGGATGCAAGCAACAGTGGGAGCTGCCTCCCCCTACCTCCCCCATGAGCCACAGCTCCAGCCGCGCCCCCTGCCTGCCTGAGTAACACCTGCCCCTGCTCCCTCCCTCACCACGGGGGGTGTTGATCTGGCCCCTCCTCATGTCCCTTCCCTCCCCACCTCCCCTTCCACCACACTGGACTTACCAGCCGGAGGCAGCTCTCCATGCTGCCGGCTGTGCTCCTCACTGACTGAGTGCTGCACTGTGGCTGTGCACAGCATGGGCATTTATTGGCTAAATCATCTGCCCCATCAGGCCAGTATCCAATACAGCCAGTTTTCGTTATATTGGTACTGATCTTTATATTGGACCGATGTATCTGTTCACCTCTATTGCTGATTATACCATAGCAGCTGCACCCCACTTTGGTAATCGCATGATATCTCTGGCAGTGACACTAATTGTTTACAGCAGGAGTGTCCAACTTCAGAGCACCCAAGAGCTGTACATGGCACTTTTGTTTGGTGCCTGGGCTACCCACTGTGCAGGCCTAGGCTGCCGGGTTGGGGCTCTGCCCCTTGATTCCCAACCTGTGGGCAGCACCAGCACTCCCTCCTCCCTGAACGCTCCCTCAGGAAGGGTAAGAAGCTTTGTAAGACCCGAGTTTAGTGAATAATGCATCTTTATCATTTTCTAGTGTTAAGCCAGAGGTACGTGTTTATAAACACTGAATTTTGTATCTAAATTTCTTCGTCTAATCTAAGGCCCCCTGGCTTTCCTTTGTTGGACTGAGTGTTATTTTATTTTTTTTAACTGGGCAGGGTGTGGACTCTGGGCAGGTTCCCCAAGATCCAGTAGGACGACCCATCATGCACCAGGCTGGCTTTGAACATGCCAGTGGCGAAGCTATTTATTGTGATGACATGCGTGTGGTGGATGAAGAGCTCTTTTTGGCTGTGGTCACTAGTTCCAAAGCACATGCAAAGATTGTGTAAGTGTATAAAGACCTGAGAGATGTGTTACCATGAAAACAACAGCTGGGATTTTTTGAGCACTCTAGGTTAGGGGTATCAAACATCTGGCCTGCAGGATAGATCTGGCCTGTTCACCAGGTTGTCCAGCTCAAAGATTTTTATCCTGGCTTTGGCTACAGTGGTGAGGGTTCCCACAGTGGCAGCCAGGGCTCTGGGGAGAGCAGCATTGGAGATAGAAGTCCTGCCATGATGGCCAGAGCCAAGAAAGGAGACAGGTCACCAAGAGCCTTATTTTCCATCTACCTAATCTTGCTGTCCTAAGGGAAAGAAAAGAATGGCCATTAGCCAGCTGCCCAGAGAAGTGTGAGTGCAGAGCCACGTGGTACTGGATATCTATGGATGTATTGTTGTCTTCCTTCTGCAACATTCTGAGATTAACCGCTTCCCCCCCAGATCAATTAACACATTGGAGGCCCGTGCGGTACCAGGGGTGTTTGATGTCATAACAGCTCATGATGTCCCAGCTACAAATGAATTCTACTATGCCAGTGATCCAGAGATTATATTTGCAAAAGAGAAGGTATAACATGCCTACTCAGTAGGCACACTTTTTTGAGTGGGTCTCTTCAGTTTTTAACATCTTTCACAATTAAACTAAACCATGACCTGTTGGATCTTGAATTGTTGTAGTGTGTGTACGTTGGGAATCATTTGGTCACTCAAAAAGGGGCATCTTCCTAACTATTCTCTTCCATTCCTTTTAAAGCAGATAGATCAGACTAGTAAAAACTGGGGTAAAATTTGCAAAAACAGTTCATAGGTTCATAGATTCATAGATGTAGGGTCGGAAGAGACCTTAGAGATCTTCTAGTCTGACCCCCTGCCATGGGCAGGAGAGAAAACTGGGCTCAAATGACCCCAGCCAGGTAAACGTTGAGCCTTCTCTTAAACACCCCCAGGGTAGGAGCCATCACCACTTCCCTTGGAAGTTGGTTCCAGATCCTAGCCGCCCTGACTGTGAAGTAGTGCCTTCTAATGTCTAGTCTAAACCTACTCTCTAGCAGCTTATGGCTGTTATTCCTTGTTATTCCGGGAGGCGCTTGGGGGACAAGGTCTCTCCCAAACCCTGCTGGTCCCCGCTAGTAAGTTTAGAGATGGCCACCAGGTCCCCCCTCAGCCTTCTCTTGCGAAGGCTGAACAGGTTAAGGTCCCGTAGCCTCTTCTCATAGGGTCTGCCCTGCTGTCCCCAGATCATGCGAGTGGCCCTCCTTTGGACCCTCTCAATGCTGTCCACATCCCTCCTGAAGTGCTTCACCCAGAACTGGATGCAGTACTCCAGCTGTGGCCTGACCAGTGTCGCATAGAGGGGGAGGATCACCTTCTTGGCCCTGCTTGTGATGCATCTGTGGATGCACGACAAGGTATGGTTAGCCCTACTGACTGTGTTCTTGCATTGTCGGCCCATGTTCATCTTGGAGTCAATAATGACTCCAAGATCTCTTTCTGCCACCATGCTTTCAAGAAGGGAGTTCCCTAGCCTATAGGTATGTTAATCTTGGTGTCGTCTATGCATTTAAACAGGCTGCTCTTCACCTCATTGTCCAAGTCACTAATAAAGAAATTGAACAGTCTGGGCCCAAGGACCAACCCTGGGGGACCCCACTGCCCACTTCCCTTCAAGTCAAAAACCCGTCCACCACCACTCTCTGAGTGCGACCCCTCAGCCAATTTGCAATCCATTTGACTGTGTAGGCATCAATGCCACAGTCACCTAGCTTTTTAATGAGAATGGGGTGGGAGACAGTGTCAAAGGCCTTGCTGAAGTCCAGAAAGACTACATGCACCACGACACCTGTGTCCAGTGATTTTGTGACCTGATCATAGAAGGCAATCAGATTGGTCTGACAGGACCTGCTCCTAATCCAGTAGGACGAAATCATGCTGGTTGCCCTTGAGCATCATCCCCGCTGCTGGCCCATGACAGATTTGCTCCTTGATAATCTTCTCAAAGAGCTTCCCCAGGATTGAAGTAAGACTAACAGGCCTATAGTTGCCCAGGTCCTCCCTCTTCCCTTTTTTAAAGATGGGGACCAGATTGGCCCTCTTCCAGTCGTCCAGCACCTGGCCAGAGCACCACAAGTGCTTGTAAAGCCGTACCAGGGGCCCCGCAATAACCCCTACCAATTCCCTCAACACCCTGGGGTGGAGAGCATTTGGACCTGCTGATTTGAACGTGTCCAGCCCCTCCAGAAGTTCTCTAACCCAGTCCTCCCTGACCCTAGGCTTGGCAGAGTTTCTCCCAAGTCCGTCCTGAATCTTGGTAGAGTTAAGTCACTTGGAAATACAAGTTTTACTGAAGATCACTGGGAATTGGTCTCCTAAGTCACTTAGGGGCCTTTGAAATTATAGTCCTTAGTTCCCAGATTACATCAATATATCCACTGTTGGTTTCAGAGAAAAGTATTGGTTTCAGGGAAGCTCTACAGCCAGTAAGACCTAAACCAAAGCAAAAAAATAAATGGGGAATGTGATTGGTGTCTGTTTAAGGACAGGTTTCAATAAGCACATATGGGAATCTTTTGATTACAGCATTCCCACTAGACTCCGTGTACTTTGCAGGTGATTTGTGTGGGTCAGATAGTTTGCGCTGTGGTTGCAGATTCTGATGTTCATGCCAAACAAGCAGCTGCAAAAGTGAAGATAGAGTATGAAGCCCTGGAGCCAGTGATCCTGACAGTTGAGGTAATAATCAGCTTCTTCATTCTTGCTTTTCACTTGCTTATCTTCTTGAGCAGAGTAGGCACTTGTTTACTCTTCAACCTCTGATTAACGTTTTTTCTTTATTGCAAGTGATGTCTGACTGAGTTTCTTTTATCAAAGACCAAGGGAAAAATTCTGCTGCCATGTTACACCAGTGTAACCCCAGTGAAGTCCATGATATAAAAAGAAAAGGCCTGGGCCAGTACTTTTCACTTAGGTTTAGTTTGTTAGATCTGAAAGAAGAGCCTCCAATATTAGCAAATGGGAATCTTTCACATCTAAGGATTCCCCTGCTTGTCCTTTCTAAAATTACTAAGTGTTTTTTCTGACCCTCCTGATCAAACAGCAACTCCAGGAAAGATGCACTTCATAATTCCCTATCTGGGAACTCTGTAATTAGGGTAGGATAAGATTTCACACATTTTTGTCTTCTCCTGCCTCAATAAATAAATATAATATAGCCCATACAACACCCTGGCCAATGTTAGGGCAAGTGTTGACTTATCCTCTCCTGCCTAGCTCAGATCCCACTCCAAAAGAGTGCTCTTCCATTTTGTACTGTATATTAGAGACTATGTTTTTGGTCAGCTGGAAACTCATCCTCGAGTTACAGCAGCCATTGCTGTTGATAGGTTGCATGACAGAAGTATACACTCCCCTGATATGGTAGAGATTGGTTCACACATCCCAGGAAGAAAAACAATGCACAGAAAAGCTCATATCAACCATATCCATCTTAACCATATCTTCAGTTCAGGGCTACCTCAGCAGTCTCTTTCCATTCGCATCTAGTCTGAGACAGGTCCATAACCACATCACTACCGGACTTCTACCATATCCTAGGGAGTGTCTGACTGAACAACTGGTAGGTAGCCATTTAAAGAGTAGACTAATTAATGAATTAAATACCTAAGCATGTGTATTTTTCCCCCCTGCTTTAGGATGCCATTCAGCACAATTCATTCTTTGAGCCAAAAAGAAAGCTAGAACATGGGAATGTTGATGAAGCATTTAAAACTGTTGATCAAATACTTGAAGGTAAATTGCAGGATTTGCTGGGTGGGAGCTGGGAGGCTTCTGATATTTGGATTTTACCCTCCTGTTTGTCTTTCCCCTTTCAACCACCAAATCCTTGCCTTTCCTCCTCAGCATTATAAACACCCATTTTTTGCTGACCCTGTGCAACTGTCAAAACCTGCTCTTTGCATAGAAAAATAACCATTCCCTCTTCTGTCCTGCTG